TATTTATTTATTGTACTCTATTAATTAATCCCCAATAGGGAAATTAATTGTCTGCATTTTTCCCATTGCACATGTGAGCACACATGTGAAACAGTGGGCTGCTATCTATCTAAGGCGCCCTGGGAGCAGCTGGAGTGTTAAGAGCCGTGTTTATGATCCCAGAGTGGTGCAAATGAGGGTGGAGGCAGGTGTGGGTGTTTATCGTTCCTACCCGCATTTTGATGTTGTCAGTCCGGGGAGTTGACCAGCGACCCTCCATTCACAGGCCCACCCTCCATAACCTCTGCACCACCACTCCCTCACGTCTCCAAATTGGAGTTGTTTTGGGTGATTAGTTTGACCCAGCATTCTGGATCAAGTTTTCTACCCATAAAATGGGTTAAATTTACTAATTTGTTGAATTAGAGCTATTAATTTGTTGAATTAGAGCTATTAATAGGATGAGTAAAAAAATCTGGGTTATAAGATATTTGCAACTTGGACTATTGCTAGCTGGTGCTAAACGCTCTAACATACAGCTAACACCAACTAACATTATTTTCAGAGGCCAAACTCAATCTAATGCAACCTAAAGTTGTTTTAATAAACTTCCCAACTTAATCTTTGTACAAGTTGTTTGTACTTTTACCACTAATTGCGTCTGAATGCAGAAGTCCTGTCATGTTTGATTTGGTTAGTTCAGTCTTAAAACAGCAAACAGTGAAGAATGGCTCATCTCTATTCCAATCACTTATTTGGTCAAACCAGCTCAACCTGTAAACATCTTCAGCTCAGCAACTGACGTATCCAAACAACCCAACAGGCTTTAAATTGCTGCACTCTCTAAAATAAAGTGAGGTAAAAGTCATTTATATCAATTATGACAATGCTCCTTTTCTATTTTATGACAATCCTGGGAAAAATGTGCTATTAGCAATAATTTAGCACATGGTTGTAGTGGTGGTGAGTACGGCATATACCCCCCTCAACTTCCCACAGGCATTGAATTCAGCTCCCTACACTGGCTAATCACAACCTGCTAGGTGGATGCTGAGCCATCAATACTGCCTCTAAGTGGCAGCTGCAGGGCCCCTGTAAAACCTGGGGTCCAGCAGGGTCTCAAATAAACACTCCGAGCTGCCATGGTGTTGAAAATATGCATCCAAACATCAAGTCAGCCAGTTTCATGGCTATAGGAAAGGATTTAATAAAACATGTCTCCCACGTTACAGAGCTGAAAGTTCAATTTTCAGTTCAATTTCACATTGATTTCTGCGTACATTATAAGGTGAATCACCTTGAGGGAATGAGAGGTGCATCTCCTCCTCCTTACTTCCAGTCTCCCTGTGGCAGTGGAGAGGGGGAGCTCTCCTTGGAGATTCCTATCAGAAACAGTAACAGAGAAGGTTCCAGTAATATGAGGGCGATGTCGATGATGGTTTTAAATCTCAGGGCTCTCAGGTGCATTAGTCTTTATTATAGCTTCCCCTCAAGGCTACTTAACGCTTGCTTGCAATGGAAAGAGGCCGGCAGAGACAGAGCATCCATGCCCAGACAGACACGTGAACGTCATGCCTTGGCTGAAGACTAATTGAGTCTTTTTAAACACACAGGATGCGTGTGCTGATGCACATAAACACTGCGATGATGCACACATTTTAAAGATTACTTTGATTTTTGCCAGTGCCAGATCAGTGATGTAATAAAATCAAAAAGTTGAGCACACCATGGCCCATGAAGGAGAATCTGGCAGGAATAAACGCTGCTGCTGAACTGTGGAGGCTCCCTAAATTAAGAAAACAAACAGAGAGGAACTGAGAAAAGATGGTTATCAGGCACCATCAGATACCTGCGTGTCTTTTCTTCAGGGGCAGGAGCTGCTCTGAGCACACAAAGTACTTTTTTTGGAGTGTTGACTGGGCCTTTAAAGTAGGGGATCTATTTATACTGGCCTAGTGCTGTCTGTGGAACTGTCCAGTGCTGAAATAGATGGGGATTCGTGCTGTTTCATTTCAAACACTTCTCCTTTTTTTCCTCCTCCGCTTCCTCTATCTCCAAGGTATTTTTTTTGGCCAAACTGAATTATTTCTGTCAGATTCTACTTACATTCTTTATATTTCCCTCTTTCTTTCTTTTTTATTTTACTCCTCATTTCCTTTCTTACTTTGACGGTCGTGTGTGCCCTTGTTAAGTCAGACTTGTTTCCTTGCCACAGTTTCTTTAGTTTAATCCACTTTGTTTTCTTCTGCACGCTCACCTCATCTTCACTTGCACTAAGGGCATATCACAGAAAGTGGTCATCTCAGTTTTGTGGCTCTCTCCAATTGTGCTTTTGTTTACAAGACGCCCACTGGGATCGGCTTGCACGTGTGAGTGCACACGCACTTGAGACTTGAGGACACAGTGACAACAGCAAGAACGTGGTCTGTTTGTCTTTCCGGCATATCCATCCGTCCTTTAATATCTCCTTTAAGCTACATGTTGTGTCCCCTATAAACATGCCCTGGTTTCTTTAGGGTCTTCTGTGCCCCCCGGTGTATCTTAGTTACTCAGTGTAGGGTGAGGCACGCAGAGTGGCAGGCAAGGGCATCCTGAAAGAAGAAGGAGAAGAAAGTAAGCAGAAGAGAAGAGGGACAGAAGGAGAGTAGGGAAATCAACAGACTGACTGTGGGAGAGAGCGTAAAAGAAACAATGAGTGGTGGGCACATGGGGGTTGAGAGGGATGGCTGTGATTTGCAGGGAAGGAAAGGGGGGAGGGAGGGGGGGGAGAATGGCCAGAAGGGCAGGTGGTTCTGTCATTAGCTCCAGATTAAAGCAAAGGGCAACTCCGGAGGACTCACCTCTGATTCACACAGCAGTACTGCAGGCAAGGACAAGCCTCCTGGGAGACAGGGAACACATGCGCACACATGAGCACACACATACACACACAGGAGACGCTGTAGTGATTCACAGGATTACCCACGGGCTCATGATTACACACATAAATACACACATATAGAGGCACATAACACCCCCTGCTCATTGACTCACAAGAACATGCCAACTCCCACAAACACACACTCACATGCTGATCGTTGAGCTAATTAATCAAATCTCCTGTTTTAATTAGGATTCAAATCAGTTGCCATGGGAACCTTGCCCCCTTGAAGTCTTTAAGGTAAAAACTCCAGTTTGTGCTGCAGCCTCCAATGGCTCCACGGGAAGCTGTCCGAGGGGGACAAATTCATAATACCTACCGTGATTCAGCCGGCTGCGTTCTGCATCGCATTTTCACACAGACACATATTTTTTCTGGCGAGGCCTGGGGTGCCAAATCTGAACTTCAATTTGGGTTCAGTCACAGAAAGAGGCCCAAAAATGACAGGGGGGGGGGGGGGGGTGGAAAAGTGGAATTACTGCGTCTCATGCTGCAGCTATGACAGCACAATGTGCTTTCCTGTGAAAAGGGCCATATGCATGGACATTAAAGTGTGTGTGTGTCTGTGTGTGTGTGTTGGGGGGGGGGGGGGGGCGCTTGCAGGGGCCTGTCCAATTGATCACTGACAAAAGACTGCCATTTGGCTGTGATAGCTTCTGCGTGGTAAGGCATGCAAAAGCACTTCTGCACAGCTCGTAGAGGTTGTTTTTTATTGTTATTTTTCGACAGTTCAGTAAGCTTCGTGCTTGCATTCATGTCACAGAACTTTGCCTTTTGAGCCAAAGGATATATTTGAGAGACCCTTGTCTCATTGAGCCAGGCCAGTACTTTCACTCCAGCCTGTCAGGAATTTAACATTTGTGTTAACATTAATTAAACTGAGGAAATATTTATTCACTGACTAATGTCAAAGCACTGTTTAAAGTGATGTGGGGGCTTCAGTGTTAACACTCTTTCATCTCGCAGGCTGATAGACATCCCACCAGCTTATCTTAAAAACACTGGATGAGAAAGCTCAAAGTGCAGCCGAGTCGTGCCACCTTTTATCTGTCCCGAGAGCCCCAATATCAGCTCAGGTGAAGGCTGGACGTGATGAATTAAAAGAGGAGAGCATGCCAAGCAAAGCCATTAGGATACAAGAACTCCGGCGTTTGTCTCCAGCTTGCCGGTTGTCATGGTTGCGGTGTTTATCACCTCTTTCTGCCAACACAGACCCAGGGGCAAATCAGATTGGCTTCAGACTGAGAGAGCGAAAGGGAGATGGTGAGTGAGGGGGAGGACATATTGGCACAGCAGAGAGGTGAAATGCCAACACTCTGCAGAGTAAAGGCTGAGGAAGAGCCCTGGATAAATGTCAGTGTGGCTTATTCACAACAAGAGTTTGTTTTTATCTGCTTGACTCTGATTTAAAGATTGAGAGACTATTTATTTACTCTCCCTATAGTTTTGCTCTTACTACTTTTTAACTGGTGTTAGGGTTAACTCATTTTTCAAATCGTGGGCAAACTACCACATTTTGTCAAAGCTCTTGAAAGATATTGAAAATATGAGAAGCTTTCCTAATGAGTAAATGATCCCAACGCCTCGTGGCCTATGTCTGCCACCTACTGGTCACAAGTATCCTGCCCTGAACCATTGAACAGGTGCATCAACAAGCACTGGAGGAGAGCAGTGACCAGCTATCTGACAAGACAATTTAACTTTAAATACACCTGTGACCAGTTAAATTAAAAAAGACCAATTAAAACATTTAGTGAGGATGACAAGAGGCCGGCTGGACACTTTCAATCAAGCAAACATAATCACAAACAGATGGCCTAGCAGCATGCAGCTGCTACTCCTTTTAGTCCAGTCCACGTTACATTACGATGAAACCACTCACATCAAACTATTTTGGTTTATACGATATAACACATACAATATTAAGTTATGCGATACAATGTTATAAAGCGTTGATACGACATAATGTACTCGACATGACGTTTGTGCGACAGCCCACCCGGAGCACGCGTTATAGATTTTAGACCACGCCTTTTTTCCTTGTAGAGCCAATCAGAGGACGCTTTGAAGTAGGGCCCTGATCGCTTCAGCCAATCACATCGCTGCTTGTTAGACCGGCATATGCTAAGACCTTTTTGCTAGCAAGAAAGAAGGTATGGATGCAACTTTTCGGCGTTTGGAAACATTTGTATATGCTTCGGTTTAGGTTAACTTACTCATGAACCATTAAGTGAAATAGTTAAAATTCGCTGACTTACTATTCTCGTTTTTAACTACACCTGTTTATTTATCTGTGTAAAGAACAGTTGTTTCTTCCGGGCTGTTTAATACATAAACTGAAGCTACTTCTCGGGTGATGAGTGCTGTTTTGTGGGTTCAGGGCAGTCAGGCTGGTTTGGACTTCAGCTGTCATCAAGTTCAATAGAGGCGAAACCACCAGACCGTCCATGTGAATAGGTGTATTGTGTTTTCAGACTGGTGTGAACGTGTGTTTGACAGTTCAGCTAACACCTAATGTCACAAACTCAGCCTCAGTTGTGTGACTGCTGAAGGCAGTGAAACAGTTTTTCTGCGTTTTTATTTTCCTGTACGTTTTTTGTAATCTAACTGGTTCTTCTTCCCACATAGCAGACTGACCTGACCCAGATCTGGCATTCTGCTAGCGCATCCGGCAAACTGGCATGGCAAGTTGGCTGTCAACCAGACATGGGCCAGGTCTGGCAATGATGGCACGGTTCACATGAGGCATGCCACATCTGGGCCAGTGATGGTTTAGCTTGATGTGGGCCACATCTGTTCATGCCAAATACGGGCCAGTTATGGAAGTAGCTATGTCACCCATGTGACAATTATCAATTCATCTTCTCATAAGTCGAAAAGTGATGAAAATGTTAAGAAATGTGTATATGTTTATCAGGTGAAAGGAAAATGTGCAGTATATACTGCACAGTATATACTGCACATTTTAGGTTATATTTCAAAACGTTCAACTCATTCAGGAGATGGGTGCCATGATTTTTGTTTTCGAAAACTATTTAACTTTATTTACTAATAGTTTCCCCATTATGTTTCCCTTTAAAATTTGCTTCAGCATATTTGCTCTAGTGAGTGAGAGAGTGAATGGTTGTTTGTCTCGTTTGTCTCTATGTGTCCCTGTGATGGACTTGCGACCCGTCCAGGGTGTACCCCGCCCCTCGCACAGTGATTGCTGGACATGGGCACCGGCGACCCCCGTGACCCAAAATGGAATAAGCGGGTAAAGAAAATGGATGGATGGATATTTGCTCTAATTATGGTAAATGGTAAATGGACTGTACTTATATAGCGCCTTTCTATCTTATTTCAAGATACTCAAAGCTCTTTACACTACAATCTGTGCCTCATTTACCCATTCATACAGCACTCTACTAGATCTTTACAAAGCTAATTGAACAAATCATTCTAAAGAGACTAATCAGAGCTTTATCACATTCATGCACTGATGGGACACACATCAGAGGCTTTGAGGGGTTCAGTGTCTTGCCCAGGGACACTTCGGCATGTGACTGCTGGTGGATTCGAACCCCCAACTCTTGCATTGGAGGACGACTGCTCTAACCACTCAGCCACATCTGCCGCTATTTATGCCTTCTTATGCTTATTTCACTTTTAGCTACTGCTCTGCTACTTTTAGTTACCATATTTCTACTTTTAGCTACTACTGTACTACTTTTATCTACGACATTTCTACTTTTAGCTACTGCTCTGCTACTTTTATCTACCATATTTCTACTTTTAGCTAGTGCTCTGCTGATTTTAGCTGCTGCTGTGTTACTTTTAGCCACTGCTCTTCTACTTTTAGTTAGTGTTCTGCTACTTTTAGCTATTGCTCTGTTATTTTTAGCTACTGCTTTGTTACTTTTAGCTACTACTCTGCTACTTTTATCTATGACATTTCTACTTTTAGCTACTGCTCTGCTACTTTTAGCTGCTGCTGTGTTACTTTTAGCCACTGCTCTTCTACTTTTACCTATTGTTCAGCTACTTTTAGCTACTGTATTGCCTCTTTTAGCTACTGATTTGCTTTTAGCTACCATATTGCTATTTTAGCTACTGCCCTGCTACTTTTAGTTGCCATATTTCTACTTTTAGCTACTGCTCTGCTACTTTTAGTTGCCATATTTCTACTTTTAGCTTCTGCTCTGCTACTTTTATCTACCATATTTCTACTTTTAGTTAGTGCTCTGCTACTTTTAGCTTCTGCTCTGCTACTTTTATCTACCATATTTCTACTTTTAGTTAGTGCTCTGCTACTTTTAGCTACTGCTCTGCTACTTTTAGCTACTGCTCTGCTACTTTTAGCTACTGCTCTGTTACTTTTAGCTACTGCTCTGCTACTTTTAGCTACTGCTCTGTTATTTTTAGCTACTGCTCTGCTACTTTTAGCAACCATAATGCTACTTCTGGCTCTTAGCTAGTGTTTGTCTTTTATTACCTTTAACAACTCAGTTTCAGCTACTGAAATAAATTATTTTTCATCTTCAAATTTCATCATTCACCATTTACGCAGCATTTCTGAAGAAAATTGAGTTTTTTCTAATTTTATTCATTTATTTTTAGGGCCGTACTCATCTGTGAGGAAGGGTCTCCATCATTGCTCTGTTCAGGCTGACACGGTGTGTTTCCGTGCTCAGGACTAAACGACCCCTGACAGTCGGCTGTCCTGTTATTTGTAGTCGTGCTCTGCCGTCAGTCTGCAGTGCCAAATTGTCGCCACATCTGCTGAAGATGCCGCAAACAAATAAATCCGACCTCCCGACAGCTGTTTCTTCGGGTTCAGTCAAATCAGGGACCTCAGCTGAGGAGGAGTCGCCACCCTGGGAGGAGAACAAGGCTTCCGGAGAAAAGGGCGGAGGAGGAGGAGATAGGGAGGACAATGCTGGAGACAGTGAGATCATCAAGTCACCCAGTGATCCTAAGAAGTACAGGTAGGTAACAAAGGCTTAAGTAGCTCACTTGGAATGTATACCATATGTTTATATTCTCATGGTTTATTCAGCTCTGCTCTGTTAAACAGTTTTTTTTGTCATTACTTTTTTATTTGATTTACTACCTACAAAGAAGCACAGATACTACTTTCTAAGTCATAAATGTGAAAGTACTTGGAAAATGACCCAGATCTACTAACCCCAATACACAAATGATATCAAGCCTCTTTTCCAGCTGGATCAGTGCATTATTATTATTATTGTAGTCTGATGATATGATTTCATGCTTTAAGCACACATCAGTGCCTCAGGCCTCTGTAGGGCATACACAGAAAATATGCTGTGAAGAAGCACAGAACAAGCCTCAAGATACAGTCTTCAAGTAATGCATGATTTAACAGCCTGTTCAGAATCAAACTAGAAGGAAAAAAGCTGTGAAAGCAGTGATACTGCAGTTTCTTAAAGATGTCTGTGCTGTTTCACCTTTGACCTTGCAGGTACATAGTTTTAGACAACGGCCTGCAAGCTCTGCTCATCTCTGACTACAGTGGGCCATTACAGTCAGATGATGAAGAGTCAGAGGGAGAAGACGAAGAGGAGGAGGAGGAGGAAAACTCTGAATCTGAGGATGAATCAGGGGATGAGGACGATGAGGACGATGAGGATGAGGGCAGTGATGTAGACGAGAAGGGGAAAAAGAAGAAAGGAAATGCAGAGAAACAGGTACTGCACTGACATTTTATTGCAGAGCCTTTTATGCTTTAGCAAGCGGTACTGATGTTAAACATCCCTTGAGTCATGTTGAAACTAAGAATTTTTATGCTGAAAGGAGATTAATAGCAAATACATGCAGCACGAACTGGGAGCTATTTAAACAGAGTGTACTGTTAAACAACACTTTTATTGCAGTTGTTGGTGTAAGACTCAGTACTTCTTCAATTCCCTAATCTGTCTGTGGCTTTCAGCTCTGCTCTTGTTAGTTCTTTCAATTCACAAATTTTCAGAACACTGCAGTGCATCCCACAAGACCCACAATGTACAGTTCAGGTTATTTAAATTTATCTTAAAAAACACTAATTAATTCATTCAGCACAGAATTAGTTTAGTTCTAATTTATTTAATTTATTAATTTAATTTACTGAATGCAATGATGTGGATGTGCCAACATCTAATATTTTATTCAGAGTAGAACACAAATCACAGATCAAAAGTTTAAACTGAGAGAATGTATTATTTTAAGGGAAAAATCTGTTGTTTCCAAATTTCATGGCGTCAACAAATCCCAAAAAGTTGGGACAAGTCCATTTTTACCACTGTGTGTCATCCCCCCTTCTTCTTACAACACTCAACAGACGTCTGGGGACAGAGGAGACCAGTTTCTCCAGTTTAGAAATAGGAATGCTCTCCCATTCATGTCTAATACAGGCCTCTAACTGTTCAATCGTCTTGGTCCTTCTTTGTCGCACCTTCCTCTTCATGATGCACCAAATGTTCTCTATAGGTGAAAGATCTGGACTGCAGGCTGGCCATTTCAGTACCCGGACCCTTCTCCTACGTAGCCATGATGTTGTGATTGCTGCAGAATGTGGTCTGGCATTATCGTGTTGAAAAATGCAGGGTGTTCCCTGAAAGAGATGACGTCTAGATGGGAGCATTTGTTGTTCTAGAACCTGAACATAGTTCTCGGCATTAATGGTGCCTTTCCAGACATGCAAGCTGCCCATGCCACAAGCGCTCATGCAACCCCATACCATCAGTGATGCAGGCTTCTGAACGGAGCGTTGATAACAACTTGGGCTATCCTTGTCCTCTCTGGTCCGGATGACATGGCGTCCCAGTGTTCCATAAAGAACTTCAAACCGTGCCTCATCTGACCACAGAACAGTCTTCCATTTTGCCACACTCCATTTTAAATGACCCCTGGCCCAGTGCAAACGTCTGAGCTTGTGGAGCTTGCTTAGAAATGGCTTCCTCTTTGCACTGTAGAGTTTCAGCTGGCAACGGTGGATGGCACGGTGGATTGTGTTCACTGACAATGCTTTCTGGAAGTATTCCTGAGCCCATTCTGTTATTTCCTTGACAGTGGCATTCCTGTTTGAGGTGCAGTGACGTTTAAGGGCCCGGAGATCACGAGCATCCAGTAGAGTTTTACGGCCTTGACCCTTACGCACAGCGATTGTTCCAGATTCTCTGAATCTTTTGATGATGTTATGCACGGTTGATGATGATAACTTAAAAGTCTTTGCTATTTTACGTTGGGTAACACCATTCTGGTATTGCTGCACTATCTTTCTGTGCAACAATGGTGGAATTGGTGATCCTCTTACCATCTTGGCTTCTGAGAGACACTAGCTATGTTTACATGCGCAGAATTCTCTGACCGGATTGAAATGTGTTCTGTTTGAATAATTCAAATGTATTGTTTACATGGGCACAATCTGTTCATGATGAGCGTTTACATGCAGCGGGCTTTGTTCTGAACAGCAGTACTGACATGCGCAGAGTGGTAAACTCTCCTTAAAAAAAACACCGAAGAAGAAGTTCTACTTCCGGGTGAACGTAAACAAACCTGAGCACCCAAAATGGACCCGCGACAGGTTTTAATGATGTTGGAGACGTTATTACACTCCCTGACTGAGCTACAGGTAATAGAAATCATTTTGAGCTCTTTAAAAGTTTCTAGTAGAAATGTTGAGTCGCTCACTGACCAGTTTTACTTCCCTGAGATGCTAATATTATTAGCATTAGCCAGGCGGAAATGGCAACGTCGCACTTGCGCAGTCAGGTCAGTTTTTCACCATCAGATAAAAACGAACAGATCAAGCGTTTACATGCGCACCGATCGGGTTTCGGATCGGCGTAAACCACCCGTTTCATTCTGATCAGAAATTATAACGGATCGCGCCGAATACACAAAAAAATAACCCGAACGGAGCGTTTACATGACACACTTTTATTCCGACCGGCCATTTGATCCGGTTACTTATGTCCATGTAAACATACCCAATGACACTGAGAAGCTCTTTTTATACCCAATCATGGTGTCAGTTGACCTAATTAGTGTTAATTGGTCTTCCAGCTGTTCGTTATATGGTCAATTTCCTTTTTCCAGCCCCTTATTGCTACTTGTCCCAACTTTTTTGGGATTTGTTGACACTGTGAAATTTTGAATCAACATATTTTTCCTTTAAAATGTTACATTTACTCAGATTAAACTTTTGATCTGTCATCTATGTTATATTACGAATAAAATATTGACATTTGCCATCTCCACATCATTGCATTCAGTTTTTATTCACAATTTGTTTAGTCCCAACTTTTTTGGAATCCGGTTTGTAGATCTAATTTAATTCAAATCAGGTGTGCTGGAACAGAGGAACAAAGAAAACAA